TCTGCGAAGCTGTGCAGCGCACCACGCGGGCTTGGAACACCTGTCCCACAGTGAAGTGCTCTGACAGCGCCCTCACCACTGGCAGCTCCGCGGAAGCGTCCAGCAAAGACACCTTCCCGCGGACGCCCGGGGCCACCTCCAGCCACATGGAGCTCCGCCGCACTTCCGAGACGACCGCGGGCACCAGCTTCCCCGCCGCGAGGGTGGACCACCTGGTCACAGCTTTCTCGTAGGCACTGGCATCTTGGCCGGCACGCAGCAGAGATGGCCTGCATGTGAGCTCCAGGTTGTAGGCCTTTCCTGTTCTGCCCTGACCCTTCTGCTGGATGGACAGCACACGCGCCTCCACCAGGCCTCTCTTCTTCAGGTCCTCCAGCGGATTCTCTCCGCCGCTTCCTGCGACCCCGCCCTCGCCTGCGGGATCCACGAAATGCGTGGCGTGCACGTGGCCACGCAGGCCGACTGGTGCGGCCAAGACCGCCTGAAGACCTTTCACGCTTATCACGCGCATCGTGATGGGGCTCCCTATGTGGATCTCCTCTTCGGGCCTGTCGATGCGGGGCACCTTGGGCCTGTCTCGGGACTCGCCGCCGCCAAGTGGGCAGCACGCCACCAGCCGCCTGCCTGCGGCGCTGTGCAGCAGCGAGGCGCGCGCGCCCTGCCAGCGCCGCTGGCCAAACGGGGGGGTAAAGAGTACCACTGGCGGGTCCTTGGCCCAGACCACCGAATACGCGGGCTTCTGCAACGCCGGCATCACCGCCAACTCCCTGCGGGCAGGCTCTGTGACGCCACCATCCGCGTCGGCCTTGCGCTTCTTGCTCTTCTTCCCCGCGGCGTCGAGCAGCGAGCCTGGTTCCAGGGGCGGCGCGGCCACCAGCTCGGGCTGCAGCGAGGCGTCCACGATGCCGCTGGCGGGGTCGAAATCGAGCAGCGCGCACCTCAGCGCCTCGCCCTGCTTGAGCGCCTGCGCCGCCGGCATATTTTCCTTGAGAACCAGCGCGGTGAGGTCGGCATGCCCCACCAACTTCAGCAGCACACCGTAGTCTTTCACTGCGCTAACCGTGGCATCCAGCACAGCGCCAGGGCACAGCTCGGGCTTCTCTGAGGCGGCCTGGGCGGCTGCCGCTGCGCGTGCCGCCAACATCAGCCTCAGCGCCTCGGCCTCCCGGCGCAGCAGCGGCGCGCTGGCAGCAGTTATGGGCCCAGGGCGCAAGTCCACGGTGAAGCGCTGCTTCTCGGTGTCAACCTGTGTCAGCAACATCCGCACGGTCTGGCCGACCGACAGCTCCTCGCTGGGCTTCTCGACGAAGTGGCTTGCTATCTGGTGCTTCGGTGCGACGCCTGCCAGCTTCCAGCTGCCAGCGCTCACGAGCGCGCCAAAGTGGTGAACCTCCTTGACGTATCCAGTGTACAACCGCGAGGGCTGCAATTCCGACAGCTCGGTCACGAAAGCGCCCTCTTCGGCCGACAGATACAGTGAGGGCTTGCAGCTGAGCAGCACGTACCAGGCCGAATCCTTGTTGCCCTCCTTGGAGCTCCGAAGTGTCGGGTTGAACCGAGTGGCCAGGACTACACCCCGCTCCTCCACCTCCACGCCCTCGGCCTCGCCGTTGCTGGCCTTTTGCAGACGCTCCTTCAACTCCGCATGCCTCGCAGTCGCCCAGGCCGCGTCGTCGGCGAGGTGCGCGAGGGGCACGAAGCCGCGGAGGGCCAAATCGCAAACTCCGCCCGCAGCACCGAAGCTCACCACCATGCCACCCTCGGTGCACTCCAGCAGGCGAGTGACCGCCACAACCACGCCTGGCGTCGCGCCTTCAGGCGGGGCACTCCTGGGGGTCCATGCTGGAGTGCCAGCCAGCTCCGAGGCCGATTTGCCGCCATCCAAGTTCAGCGAGAGGCCGATCCTCTTGCGCTTGATATAAACAGACTCCACGCGGCACTGCACCGACATGCCTAATGCTGGGGCCTCGTCCAACTCCATCTCCTTCGCCGGTATGAGCCCGTACACGTTACCGAAGAACGAGACGATTGCGCCGTACGGCTTTACGTTGCTGACGTACCCAGTCAGCAGCATATTCTGTCTGGCCTGCTCGAAGCTGGAGAGCTGGAACTCAGACTTCACCATGGCCTTCTTCATAGTGAGACTGACCTGGCGCTTCTCTGGTAAAACTCGCAGTACTCGGCACTTGGCTTTCGAGCCGACCTGGAACTTCTTCGGCACCGTGGCCAACGGTACGTCGGTGAGGTGGCGGAGGTGTACGAGGCCCGTGACGTACTCGCTGAGCTTGACGAAAATCCCGAACTCGGCGACGCGGCTGATCTCACCCGTCACGAGCTGGCCCGCAGCCATCTCTGTGACGCTGACCAAGATATCTTCTCGGAGGTCGTAAGGTCGGCGCGTGACGATTGCAACCGCCTCCAAGAAATTGTAACCCAACACCCGGCATGGAAACGTCGCCCCGGCCGCAGGGGCCTCCGCGTCGTTGCCTGAATCCTTGTCGGCCAGGCGGCTGCCTGGGCAGAAGCCGAGGACGGGCACCTTGCCACCACCCTGAGGCACGCACCGCACCCGGACGCCGTACTTGGGGACAGAATCCAACGCCTTGCCGTCGAGCCTCTCGCCTACCGCGATCTTCGACAGCTCGTCCCGCTGGGGCATCCAGTCAAGAATGTGGGGCAAGAGCGTCAGGTGCACGGTGACCTGTGGCCCGGGGATCACGGCCAGCACGCGCGCGGCCAGGCGCTGCTTGTGCTTCACCTCCGGGGCCTCGGCCAGGCCCCTCCCCTGATGGTGCCAGTGGATGACGCCGTTCAGCGCGCCGCAGAAATTGACCACGAGGCCCTGGTTAGTCCCCTCAGGGCCGCGGGAGCCCTTGTCCTTCTTCGCAGAGCCAGCTGTGAGGATTCTGTCCACCCGGGCGCGCACCAGGAAGCCAGCCTTCAGCGATTCCATCTTCAATGGCTCGCTCGGCAGCGCCGGCGCGACCGCGGTCGTGCAGCGCGCAATGCCCGCGCCCTGGTTCACCGAAGTTACGGCGACCTGCAGGATCACCCCCACGCACGGCGCGACCAGCTCCGTCGGTGCGTCGGCCTTCTTGAGCAAGCCCTGCAAACCCTCGATGCCGAAGCTAAGCCTGGGCAGAACTTTCAGGACGCTTGTGGCGTCAGGAGCCGGGAAGCCCCGAGGGCGAGCACACACCGTGCACTTTCTCCCAGGGAGGAGAGGGCCCGAGGGCGAGAGGGAGAAGTAGCGGGCGCAGAACGGTATAAAAAACGTGGCCCGCATGCCCTTGCTCTTGCACGGGGAGGATAACGAGGAGGGGGAATCTGTTGGGGCCATCCTGGTACTACCTCGGGGTCTCTTCGGGCCTTTCGGGGCAGGTCTGCGGGGCTGGGGTCATGGAGGTCCGAGATGGCCAAGGAGGCGGACGACGAACGACGATGAAAACCTAACAGGACAAGAACGGGAAGATTTTGTCCACTAGGTCTGTGAAGCATGCTCTTTTGTTGGTCTGCCGCGCAGATATGTCGTGGCGTGTGTGCGTTTGCGCGTGCGCGTGCGTGCGTGGAATATGTGCATGTGTGTTTGTGCGTCGTGGTCTGCGGCACTGCTATGTAATGCCGTGCTGCTCTGTCGTGCTCCTGCGGTCTGCGTGAACGTATGTTGCCTCTGTGTGTGTATGTATGTGTCTGTGTGTGCGTGTGCGTGTGCCTGTGTGCGTGTGCCTATGTGCGTGTGCCTGTAGGTGCGGCTGTGTGAATAGATGTTCTGTGTTCTGCCGTGCTCCTGCGTGTTTTGCCGCGCTCCTGTGTGTTCTGCCATGCTCCTGTGTATTCTACCATGGTCCTGCTCTGCCATGCTCCTGTGTGTTCTGCCGTGCTCCTGTACGTTCTGCCATGTTCCTCTGTGTTGTGCCGTGCTGCTGCTTGTTCTTCCGTGCTCCTATGTTTTTTTTTTTTTTTTTTTTTTTTTTTTTTTTTTTTTTTTGTAATCTGCCGCGCTCCTGAGTGTTCTGTCATGCTCCTGTATGTTCTGCCGTGCTCATATGTACTCTGTGTTCTGCCGTGCTCTTCGTGATCCTGCGCGTTCTGACATGCTCCTGTGTGTTAAAGTTAAAGTTAAAGACGGGGCCTTCAAGGCGGAGTGGTGGGGCCAAAAGGCCAAGAAAGGACACGCTCTCCCGAGAGGGGCCGCCTAGGGCCGCCTCTCGCCGCGGGGGCCGCACTGGGCCTTCACCGCGCGGCGCCACAGGCGAGGGCAGATCTACACACCGCATGCAACTGCCCGCCTCTTCACTCCTGTGCGGTTCTGCTTCAGCAGCGCACCAAGTCAAACAGGACAACATTAAAGTGCAAGGCCTTGCGACGGGCGAGCCCCGAACAAGCTTGCACGGCCGCGCGCGGCAAGGCCCAGGCGGAGCGCGGAAATCTACACGCCAACGCGCCGACGGCCAGAAGGCCCGCAAGGGGTCCACAAGAGGACGCACGCAGGAACCCATCAATCATCAAGCTGGGCCAGGGCCTCGGAGCGGCGAAGCGCCTGCTGCTCGGCGAAGCTCGGCGAGCCCTGGGCCAGCCATTCGGCGCGCTCGAGGTCGTGCTCGGCCGCGCGCTCACTGCCATCAGAAAACTCCTCTCTGAAGAACTGGCCATGGTCGGGTCCGAGGTCCCTGAAGACACCCACCACGGAGGAGACGTAGGAACTGCTGTCGCAATCGCGCGCGGCGGTGCACGGAGGGCCATCACCTGCAGCCTCCTCGGCGAGGAAGCTCTCCATGGAGGCCAGCACGCCGGCCGCGCGGCGACGCGCATCAGGAGGCCTGGACGTGAAGCCAATGCCAGCTTCGCGGAGGAGGAGCAGCAGCGTGTCCTCGTCGCCAACTGCCACCGCTTCTGCCAGGAGAGGGAAGACGCGCTTCGCGAGCTCACGGTGCGAGCCGTCATCATCCACTTCGGAATCGAAGTCGCCGCCCACAACCTCGCGGTCGATGACGGCTGCCTCCGCGCTAGCCGCCACCTGGCGCTGCAGCGCTCGAAGCCTCCAGGGTCCTCTGGGCGCGGTGGGCGCAGGAGGGGCCTGCGTGCCCCCGCTCAAGAGGGCCGCATCATTCCGAGCCAAGTATTGCACAATCTGGGTGTCGAGGCGAGCGCTGTCCGAACAGATCGTGCTGCGCGCCGAGCCGTTGGGCGCGTCCACCTGCTGCGCGCCCCCATGCGGTGACCGAAAGGGGCCCACGGAGGCGGGGGCGTCGCTGGCGCTGCGATCCGCACGCTCGCCAGGCACCTCACCGCCGCCCACGCCCTGGGCAGGCGCGCCAGCAGCCTCCAGGGGCGGAAGCGGCCCAGGGGCCGCGGGGCCGACGCCGACGCTACCCTCCAGCTCGCCAAGGCCAGGAGCGCCATCGTCGTCGGAGTCGGTCACGTCTTTCTGAGAGAACCGCACGGTCTTCACCACGTCCAGGGACTTGGGGCGACGCCTGCGGCGCCTGCCGCCGCGCCTCACCATGGGGCCCGCGGCGCCTGGGGCGTCAGCAGCAGCATCGCCGACGCCTGCCACGGGGGCGGCCCGCTCCTCGCCCGACTCGCGGCAGCACCAGAGGCTGGGAGCCCACGGCCCTGGGCCGACGCAGCTCCCTCCTGATGAGCGGTCGCCAGACTTGTCCTTCTCGCTGTCGACCTCTTCGGGCTCGGTGGCCGCCGAGGGTGGGCCTGCAGCGCAGCGGCGGAGGCTAGGCTGCCGTGGCCCTGCCGCCGCCGCGCGCCCAGCACGCACCGCGCGCCCGCTCCGCTGGGCGCAGGTAGGCCGCTCCAGCGCCGGCGCCAGCGCAGCGGCTCCATCGCCCAGCAAGGCGTGCGCGCCAAGGTTCCGCGCCGCACGGACGGCTCCTCCTGCCTGCTGGCCGCGGATGGCCTGCAACAGAGCTGGAGCCATCGCCGCGAGGCGGAGGGCGAGCTCCTCGATGTTCGCCGAAGGGGCCTCGACGGCCATCGCCAGCGGCGCCGGCGATTCCACGGCCGTGCGGACGGCGGCCGCCGCCGCAGCCGCTGCCACATGCCGTGTTGAGCCCGCCGCGCCCGCAGCCGCCCCGCGCGCTGCTAGCTCGACGGCGCCAGCCAGCGCGCCCCAGGCCGCGGGATGCGCATCCACATCGCTGACATCGCCCGACATCAGCGGAAGACCGTGGCCACTCAAGAGTGCGGGAAAGGGCGCCCCCCCGCGCGGCTTGAGCCAAAATTGCTACGGATGCTCCTGTGTGTTCTGCCGTGCTCCTGCGTGTTCTGCCGTCACTTCTGCCGTGTTCCTGTGTGTTCTGTGCTCCTATGTGTGCCGCCGTGCTCCTGTGTGTTCTGCCGCGCTCCTGCTTGTTCTGCCGTGCTCCTATGTGTTTTGTGTGGTCTGCCGTGCTCCCGTGTGTTCTGCCATGCTCCTGCGTGGTCTGCCGCACTCCTGCTTGTTGTGTCGTGCTCTGCTGCGCTCCTCCTGCTCCTGTGTTCTGCCGTGTTCCTGTGTGTTTTGCCGTTTTCCTGTATGCTCCTGTTTGTTCTGCCGTGCTCCTCGTGCTCTTGTATGTTCTGCTGTGCTCCTGTGTGTTCTGCTGTGCTCCTGTTTGTTCTGCCGTGCTCCCGTGTGTTCTTTGGGTTATGCCGTGCCCCTGTGTGTTCTGCCGTGCTCCTGTGCGTTCTGCCGTGCTTCTGCGTGTTGGGCTGCCGTGATCCTGCCCATTTTCTGAAGATGTCTCATTCGAAAAGCTCAGTTTCAACACGCGTGGTCTTAAATCATTGTTTTCAGCATTTCATTTTTTCGAGGAAGTCTCAGGCGATATACCAGTGTCCACATGCTTGTTAAAGTCGTGGCTACCATTTTGGTGAGGATGTCCCGAACGCAATGCCAAACTCGAGGAATCTCGCAGGCGCTGTTGATGTCATGTTGGGCCTCGTTTGGGGCCCACACATCTCTATTTTGAGGATGTCCTTCGCGAAATCGTCATTTTTAGAAGCCTGTCTTGGGCCCTTTGGGAGCCTTGTCAAGAGCGATCCCAAGACGATGTTAAAACAGAGGCTTTCAAAGCGATGCTGTTGTATATTTTTATTGTTTGAAGATGTCCCTCGCGAAATCGTCATTTTCGGTAATCTGCAGGGCGCTCTTGGAGCCATATTGAAATCCTTTTTGGGCTGTCGTGTCTTCCTCTTGAAACACTTCAAGACCGATGTCAAGACGATGTTGAGAACATCTCGTTTTTTTGAAGATGTTTCCATCGGGTAACACATTTTCAGCCGTGCTCCTATTTTCTGGTCCGCCGTGCTGCCGAGCATTTTCTGAAGATGTCCCGGACGAACACGCAGTTTTCAACGTACGCGGCAGTGGCACACCTCCGTCGGCATCTCATTTTTGTGAAGATTTCTCAGGCTATACGCAGATTTTTACATATGAGCAAATTTCGCGGAGCCCAATTTTTCGAGGATGTCTCGAGCGGAACGCCTGTTTTTGTCAAGCGCGATATCGCGGATATGTCGTTATTGTGTGAAGACGTTTCAAGCGAAATCGCTATTTAGAGGAATCCGCGAACGACTCGCCAGATGCGGCCCGCCACCCTCCATTAGGGAAATATTGCTAGATGTGATGCAGATTCAGCCACGACGTCCAGCTCGTTTCTCGCACGTCAGCGACATTCTTTTTTTGGAGGCGGAACCCCGACGCAAGAGGTCCTGCGAGCCCTCTACAAGGCCTACTCCTAAAGGGGAACCCGCGCATATGTGCATACTAAGACACAACATACGGGGCTACCGCCCTCTGGTGGAGAGCAACGCGCGTCTGCCTCTGACTCTCTGGCCTCGAGACGGGCTACGTGCCCTGCTCAGCAAAGCCACGGCGGAAAATGGGGGAATCAATAGAAACATCATGCCACGCAACTAAGACAGTGCTCCTGTGTAGCGGGGCGAAACAAGCCAAACTCAAAGTCCCTCTGATACTACCCGTTGCGACGCGCTCCGACAGCGGCGACGAATGACTGGCCTACCGCGCGGTAGGGGTGCACTTCGCTCGATTTCGCAAACAGAAGAATATAACAAGTACAGCGACGCACCATCAAGCAAACAGCAATGAGTGCCAGGTTGGCTTCTCACAATCAATCTCTGTACCCGTGGTGAAGATAGCGGGCGTGGCGAAGAGGCTGGCGACCAGAGCAGGACACAGAGACTACCGCCGTGGTGGAAAATCACAAAACCGATTACCAATGTGTAACCGTAGGACGCACCCAGCAACTGCTGCCACTTCCGCTGTAATGAGCGAGCGGGTGATGTAGATAGCGCGGCATCAACTTCCAAGCTGAGAATGCAATACTGTGGCCAGTGGGTACCGGATGAGTATCACTGCAAATGTAGCCAAATAGGCGGAGTCGCCGCACATGAAGAGGATAGTGGGAAGCAAAAAGTAAGGTCCGTGCTATAGCGATGTCCTTCTGCTGCAAGTGAATCGGGATACGAGACTGCGCCCAGTCCTACGGATTGGTCTCCCCAGGCCTGGCCCACCCTTTGGCAAGCACAGGGGGGCAGGCACCATGAGAATCGGCCTTGCTGTGCACTTGCTCGCCTCGGTCGAGCGAATCATTCTCAGTCTCGGGGCTCCAGGGCGGTCGTGCCGCCGCCCAATGCTCTGCCCTCCAGCTTGGTGTGGTCACCCAATCGATGGCGCACAAAAGGAGAAACGAAACATGTCTCGCCATCGACCTGGCATCATGCTGTGCGGGGGCTTGCGACCCTGCGGCCACACCAATGCCGCCTGAAGCCGCTCGAACCAAGGCCTTCGACGACGCTTCCCGTCATCCGCCGACCCTGTCGGCGTGCGTGAGAAGCTTTTCTGTTTGAGTCGTCGTCGTCGTCGTCGTCGTCGTCGTCGTCCTTGTCGTCGTCCTTGTCGTCGTCGTCGTCGTCGTCGTCGTCGTCGTAGTTCCAGCTCGAAGGCAGGTGGGCTGCTCGAGCTGGGACTAGCGGTGCGGCTGGGCGCGATGGCGGCCTGCCTGCCCACAGCGGCGGTCAGGGCCACTGTGGAGGCAAGGGCCGATGCGATGATAGCGGCTGCAGTGGCGGGGGCGGTGGCGGAGGCAGGCCTCCGAGCCGACACCGCGCAGGCCAGCCTGCTGGGCGTGGCTTACGGCGAGGGCCTGGCAACAGGCTGGGACCTTGCCCTGCGGGAGATGGTGGCGGCGCCGCATGTGCAGGTGGGCGAGGAAGCGCCTGGGGTATGGGAGGCGCCGCAGGACGACCTCAAGGGCGAGGAGGAAATGGAGGGGAAGGACGATGGCCAGGACGAGGGTGGCGCTTGCGAGGACTCGGAGGGCGACGCGCCAGAGGGAGACGTCGAGGCGGACCAAGCCAACGATGTGGATGAGGCCTCGGCGGCACGGAGGGCGGCCTCGGCGGACGGGGCGGCGAAGGCGAGGGCTTCGGCGGATGGTGGTCCTCGGCGGATGGCAGCCCATGGCTGGAGGTGCGGTGGCCGAGGGTCGCTTCGCCGCGGCAGGCGCAGGCGGTGGTGGCGTAGGCGAGCTTCGAGCACGACTTCTCGTTCAAGACCCTCGGGTGCGCGGGACTCGAGGGGGGCGACGACGAGGAGGAGGTGGAGGACCAGTCTGGCCAGACTGCGGCGCCGGCAAAGCCGAAGGTCAAGCGGGAAAAGAAGAAGAGCGACGGCGGCGGAGGCAGGCGGGGCGCCACAGCCAAGCGCTGCAAGGGGACGCCCGCCCCGTGCGAGCGTTGGACGGCGGCTGTGGCACAGGCTGACCGCAGTGCGGTGAAGTGTGCCAGGGTGCAGGCTGTGCTCAAGCTGGAAGCGGAGCGGGCCGCAGCGGCCTCCGAGCTGCAGGCCGACGAAGGGGTCAAGGACGGGGGGGAGGGCGACGAGGAGGCCTTTCGCGCCTCGGAGGACGAGGGCACGAGCGCCTCCGACAGCGAGGAGGAGAGGCGGCAAGGCGAGCAGCAGGTGGACTGCAGCAGCTTCACACGCAGCTCGCGGCCGAGGACGAGGAGGGGGACGAGCCTGCCGCCCAGTTCGAGGGTGGCTCGGACGGCGACTCGGAGCACGAGCAGTGGGTGCAGAGCAACGTCAGGGGCAATGGGGAGCGCGGCGAGCTGGGGACCCTCCTGGCCAGGTACCCAGGGGACGGAAGGGCCCGAGCCCGCATGCGCGGGTGCACCGCCGACATCCTGGCCCAGGTGGTCGACGGGTTCGAGTCGCGCGCGGAGGGCGGGTCCGACTGCTCGGCCCTCGCGATGGCCTTCCTGCGCAAGGTGACGAACGAGCGAGGTCGAGGGGTCGATCGAGAACGCCACCGCTCGGGCGCGGCGGAGGAGGGCGAGGCTCAGGGCGGCGCTCCTGATGGGGGGCCGATGGCGGCAAGTTCGGGGGTAGCCTGGAAAACACCTCCATGTCATCGTTGCGCCTTCGCCCGAGGCTCAGCTTTGGCGTGCGGAGGGGTCAGACACCTGCGCGGGCAAGTTGAACGCCCTGGCTGGCCTGCCCCGCCAGTGCCGTGTCCCGGGGCTTACGTGTCAAGTGCGGGCTTAGCGGTGCGGGTCGGCCTGTGAGGTGTCGTGCGCGCTAGGGCTTCGGCTCGGCGACCGCGCGAGTTGCTCGGCGCGCCATGGACGAGCGCACCGTCAAGAACCGTCAAGAACTGTCGTCGTCGTCGTCGTCGTCGTCGTCGTCGGCGCTCCCCCTTTCCCTGGGCTCTCTGCCTCAAGCGCGCTAGCGAGAGGGAAATCGAGCAAAGTTGTAATTGGTTCGAAGGGAAGCCCCTTCCCTTTGATTCCTTCCCCCCGCGCGTGGGGGGGGGGCCCCGGGGATGCGTTGCCTCTCTCTGGGACCCCAGAGGGCCCCGAGAGGCCTCCAGATACCCCAAGGGAGCTTCAACATCGCTCAAGGTATCCCAAACTTGTTCTAGATAGCTTCCAGCATGCCTCCAAGAGGCCTCAGGTCCGCTCCAACGCGGCTACTATGTGGCCCCGAAGCTGTCCCAGGAGTCCCACAGGAGGCGAGCCTCATTCGAAACCATTGTGCTCGTCTAGGGTTTAACTTTGCCACCTGCTCGCTTTCGATCGGCTCTTGAGGTCTCAAGATGGCTCCCAGATGTCTCAACAGGGTCTGAGAGCGCCCCAAGAGAGCGCCAAGCAAGCCCAGAGAGACTGATTCTCGCGGCCGGAGGGGGACGCACATTGGAAGCCCTCCTTCTTTGATCGATAGTCTCCTCCAAGATGGCCTCAAAACGCCTCCCAGGGCCACCAAGAGAGCCCCAGGAGAGCCCCAACAGGGCCTCCGAGGGCTCCACAGTGGCCCCAGGAGGGCCCCACGATGGGCCCAAGGGGCCTTCCCCTCTCGCTCGCTTTCCCCTTCCCCGCGTCTTCCCTCCTCCTCTTCCCCCTCCCATCCTCTTCCTCCTCCTCCTGCCTGGCTGCCCGCTGCGCAGACGGTCGGCGCACCGGCCGTGCGGCCTCCTCGATGCAGGGCCGGGAGCTCTAGAGCACAGCAGGGAAGGAGCACACGCTTTTCCACCATCGGGGACGCCTGTCCCAGGGCGACTGGAAATTTATGCCCTTACGGTGGCAAGTGGGGGCGGATTTTTTTCCAGCCGCCCTGGCACTCTCGTCCCCGATCGAAGGATACATCATCTTATACCGTTCTTCGCCCGCTGTTGGAGTACCGTGTGGGACCTGCTCCAGAATAGGGACATACCGTAGACGGATCTGCCATTTCTCCGACTTTGTACTGCGCCGAACGCAACGGCCGCGTTGCCTATAGACATATCACCATCGAATGCGTCTATAGACGCACCGACACCCAAAGTGATGTGTCCGTAGACGCTTGTGGCTAGACAAAAAAAAAACGATATCTGACATATGTCCGAGATGTCCGTCTTCTGGAAACGGGTAGACTTTGCCATCCAACGCAGGAGGGAAGGAAGACAAGCGGGTCAGCCTGAACACGTGCTCCTCCTCGCTCGTTACGGCCGCGGGCAGCCACATGTTGGGCACGACAGTCTCGGCCGTCAGGCCCGCGTTCAGCAGCGCGGGCCGCAGGGACACCTCGATGCGCTGCCGCCCGGTGCTGCCGACCTCCACCACGGCGGTGACGACCGCGGCCACCTCAGGGGACGACGAACGGTATGACATAAACTTTTCCGCCGTCAGGGTAAAATCTTTCCAGCCGCCCGGAGGCAAGTGTTCCCGACGGCGGGGACATTGATCTTATACCGTGCTTCGTCTCCCGACCACCAGCTGCCCAGGCCGATAGCTCTCCCCTAGCGCCAGTGGCCGCTGCTCGGAGCCCTCCGCCGTCCGCTCCAGGGCCTGGCTGCGGCCGCAGTAGCCCACCAGGTTGAAGGGCAGGTTCAGGATGAGCTCCTCGTCCCCGACCTCGCGGACGGCGGCCAGAGCCAGCGTGCCCGCGACGACGTCCTGGTGCCGCAGCCGCGGGGCGCTGCGGAGGGAGCGGGACGCCTCCACCT